AGTATTAAGACTTTATTAGCAAAGAAGTATAAAAACTTCTTGCAAACATCTTTTTTATGTGTGGTCAGAGGATCAGCAGAAAGAGTTTTTAAAAAAACAATAACTTATTTTTATATATTATTAATTAAAGACTATATTATTTAAAAAAATGTAAAAATTTTATTAAATCAGTTTAAATTAAACAAAATAAAGTTTAAATTAAGTACCTTAAGTTAAATTTAAAAAGTAATATTTTATTTTTTGAATTTGTCACTATAAATTATTAAATTATTATATTGAAAAAAAAAAAAAATAAAAACAATTCAATATTTTTCAAAAAGTTCTTATTTAAATAAATAGTTTTTATAAAAAAAAATCTGTTTAATTAAAATATTTTTTAAAATTCAAATTAATTGAGAAACTTAATTATTCCTAAATATAAAAACTTTAAAAGAAAAATATTTGAGAAACTTATTCTTTTATTAATATATGAATTTTATATATTATATCATTAATATTAATATCATGTTATAGTAGAATTAATCTAATTAAGATAAAAAAGTCTCTACAAAAACTTTTTGTTTAATTAATATAGAAGCTTGAAAACCTTAACCTTCTTTTTAAAAAAATATTATTACTATTTGAAAAAAATTTTAAGAGATAAAAATATTATATTTTATACTTTTTACTTGTCTTTTAATATTATACTGTAACTATTTTTTTTGAAAAACTTGTTCAATTGAAAGATAACTTTTTTATAGACTTTTCTTTTCTATTATCAATGGTATCATTGAAATATATGATTATAATCAATAAGAACTTGTTTAAAAATTTAAAATTAAACTAAGGTAAACAAAATTTCTGAAAAAATCAGAAAACTCTAAAAAGGTAACAATAGTTAACAAAAGAAAAAATAAGTTCTTTCATTGTTATAGATTTTTATAAAATTTATTTCAAAGATAAAAAAAAATCTTCAAATCTTTAAGTATTTTCTTATCATAAAAATATTACTTGATTTTTTCTTGATTATCAAAAATCAAGTTTTTGATTAAAGGAGGTATAATAGTGATTCTTGAAATACTCTTCAAATTGTTTTAATTAAGAAATTCAAAGTCTTTTGTATATGGTTGGAGGATCAGCAGAAAGAGTTTTTTTTTTTGAACCCTAAAATTTATATTCACAATTGAATTAAGTATTTGAATCGTGTTCTTATATTCTATAGTAATGGGGCACAAAAATTATTGCACTTATATAGCCTTCGTCACGTTATCTGAATGAGATCACGTTAAAAAAAAAAAGGTGAGATACGCGACGCGATCTCACTAAATTTTACACCAATTGCGAAGTCATGAGTTCCGGAAGTGAGAGATTTGATTACGACGCGGAGAATGGAAGTAGACTCGGAGGCTCAGGCAAAAGTACAGGGGAAAAAATACCCGTACGGAGAAGAAAAGGACCAAAGTTGGATGGCACATTGTAAAGAAATCAGAATAATGTTCAAATTTCAACAGTTTTTTTTATAAAAGTAACTTTTTTGCCGTTTACTGTTCCAATGTGATCTAATAGATTAATGTCAGATAAGGGTTTTAAGAAATTACTCTGTGAAGCTCAAAGGTTGAAATTTGCGACTTCTAACAAAAATCAAATTGATCAAAATAAAATTACGGTGTGATAGCATTTGTTCTTGTCTATCAAGAAACTATTTTTTGTGTCTCTTGCTTATCGTCGTTATTTTTTGTTTTGACTTTTTACCAGGAGGAAAACTTGAATACGCTAATTAAATTTTATCAGGCGTGGGCTCACGATTTGTGTCCGAAAATGAAGTTTCATGATTTCATCCAAAGAGTAGAAACACTTTGCACAGAAAGAAGGATTTTGGTAAAATTTTATTAATTTTATTTCTTTTGTTAAGTTTTCATTCCGCAAGACTTTTGTTGATTTCTTTTTACTATTATTATTATTATTATTATTATTATTTAATCAAGAATCACATTAAAGGTTTGAAAGACGAATTCAAAAAGGAGAAATCTAGAGAAAGCAACGAATGCTGAAAATATTGCGAGATTTTTGCACCGTGATAAATTGGTGTCTTAAATGTAATGATCGTACAGTATATTATCGCTAAATTTAATCACGTGATTATATATTCATGATTTTCTGATAAAAAAAAATTGATGCGATGTGATTCTGAAATGCAGTTAGGAAAATGTTTTATACAAGAGCTACTAAACTGATATCAGCAACACATCCAAGGTTCTCTACAATAAATAATCTCAGTCATAAATTTAGACGGCCCAATACTTTACCTAGCTCGGAAAAATGGGTAGAAATAGATGCGGAAACAGTAGATAATCTCGAAAAACAAAATGCCATTCGTCATTTGCAAAAAATAAATCCAGGATTAAACAAAACGAAACTGTCGGAACGGGTTGCAAGTGAAAATGGAGAAAACACATCATCGAGTTCTAACGATTCACAAAATAATGAAGGTGAAATTAACTTAGAAGGAAAGATAATTCTTTCCGAAACAAAATGGGCAAAACCTAGGAAATCGGAAAATGAATCAATAATCGACCTTTTTTCTGATGTGGATTGGGATAAAAAGGCAAAAAAGAACTGGAGTGCTGGAAATCGAATCAAGAGATGGAATAATCACGCGAAAAATACCGATAGGAAAGATAATCTATGGTCAAAGACTTTTGACGGGCCCTCGAATGGTGGTCAAGATCGATCAGAACGTAATCGTAATGACCAACCTAAGCCGCCAGGATCCGATAGAATGTTTGATCGCCTTTTTGAAGATGGAACGAATGCACAGTCGCGGCAGAAATTTTCCTCTGGATTGTCAGGCGGTGTAAGCCTTGAAAAGAGAAGTTCGAGTCTACCACCATTCAGCCGTCATCCACTAAAGAGACAACCCCTTCCTTCGCTGGGAAAATCAGAACTTCCATCCAAAATGGAAATTTCGAATGATATTGCTCTCGAGTCAACAGCAATAGGAGAATCTCAAGGTCTTCGTAAAGATGAAGATAGAGTTTCCCGTGCGCGTCAAAAATTTGGGCTAAGAAAAGATAGAATAGGTGCATTCACGGAACCTCATAAGACCAAGTATATCCGGAAGGGTCATGAAAGAATGACAGAGGAAGAAAAAGAGTTTGATGTAGATGTTGGTTTTGAAAGACCAAAGAAAAAACAGCAAGTCCATAGGGAAGCACAAGAAATTCAAAGGGAAATTTTCCTTCCAGAAGCTATTAGCATTTCTAATTTAGCAAAGCTTATTGGCGAACGAATGGGTGAGCAGACAAAGGTTCAGGGTTCCGTTTACTTGAAAATTATACGATAAGTTTTGAATCTAACGTAAATACAGTTTTGTTTTATTAATTACAGCTTCGTTTGAACATAAGTTGACTAGTCTCGGGATCGAATATACATCACATGATCACTGTAAGCTACCAATTTCTGGAAATTTTTAACTTTGAGAAATTTCGATTTGCAGTATTATTAAAAAAAAAAAAAAAAAAAAAAAAAAAAAAAAAAAATTATTTTGACCTCTTAGTGCTGAATTCCGAAGAGGCATCATTGATCGTGATGGAATATAATTTGAATCCGGTAGTCAATAGTGTTGCATCATTGGATCTTTATTCAAAGTAACGTGTCACAATCAATTATTCTTGAAATAGACCAGAAGCTTCACAAAGTTTGGAATTATGATAATATAGACCTAAACCCGCCGACATGTCTAAACATCCGTTTCGTCCTCCGATCGTGACTATAATGGGTCACGTTGACCACGGTATTACTTTTATTTGGTGTCTCACTTACTTATATTACATTTTTAAATGTAAGCGCGTTATCTAATGGACTTTCTATTCTTTGCCTATAAGGGAAAACCACCCTTCTAGATAATTTGCGAAAATCCTCTGTGGCGGCTGGCGAAGTAGGCGGAATCACTCAGCATATCGGTGCTTTCTCAGGTACGATTGGCTTCAAATGTTAAACTTACATAAATATCTTTTTTGCCTGTCATTCACAATACCTTATTACGAACAATGTGTCTTCCACAGTTTCATTACCTTCGAAGAAGACTATAACCTTTCTTGACACACCTGGTCATGCCGCCTTTTCGGCTATGCGTGCCCGTGGTGCTCATGTAACTGATATCATCGTTCTAGTGGTTGCGGCTGATGACGGTGTGATGCCGCAGACGCTGGAGGCTATTAAGCACGCCAAAGATGCCGGAGGTATAACATGCATTAATGCGTCTTTGCCTAATTATGAAATGTTGGCTTACGTATGGTTCGCAATACTATTTAATGAGTAGTGCCTATGATTGTAGCGATTAACAAGATTGATAGGCATGACGCGAACGTGGTACGTGGTTTTGAGAGTGGCGAATGAATCTCATAAAGCTCTTGAAATTCTTATTAATGAATGCGACCTTTCTTACAGGCTAAAGTACGCGAAGGTCTTATGTCGAATGGTGTGGAACTTGAGGAATACGGCGGGGAAACACAGTGCGTCGAGATTTCTGCCATGACGGTGAGCATGAGTTATAAATGAAGACCTTTTCTTGAACTTTATCCAACAACCACCTTTAAATTTATGAAGGGTAAAGGTTTGGTGGAATTAGAGGAATCTATCATAACTCTAGCTGAATTAATGGAATATCGTGCCGAGATTGACACTGAAGCCGAGGGTAATATAATAGAATCACTGATAGAAAAGGGAAAAGGGTATTATTTATTCAGATGACCTTTTTTTTAAGAAAAAAAAAAAAAATATGATACCAACATGAACCTTTTCACTATTTCACCGTTACAGAAATGTTGCCACGGTGTTGGTGAGACGTGGCACCTTAAGACAAGGAGATGTTATAGTTGCAGGTACAAGTTGGTGCAAAGTTAGACTGATGACTGACGATAAAGGTCATTCGCTTAAGCAAGCGTTACCTGGTACTCCTGTGAAAGTCATTGGCTGGAAGGATCTTCCAAAGGCTGGTGACGAAGTTCTTCAGGCGAAGGATGAGGTAAATTTTTTTAATCGAGTCTTCGAATGTCATGCATCCTGTTCCGAATTTACGTGTATCAAATAGGAAATCGCAAAAACCGTGGTCAATAACCGGAAGTTAAGAGGGGAACGGGAAAAGCAATTGAGGGATCTCGAGGTTATTAATGAAAAGCGAAGACAACGTAAACAAGAGTTGGAAATTGAGCAAGCTAATGCTAGAAATTTCAAGAAAGAGGTTTGGATGTTCCATAAAGGCTTGCTTAAGGAATACCCTACTATCTCCCCCCCTCCTGAAAACAAAGCAAAGATTGAGGAAAATAATGTCAAAGAATTGAGAGTTGTCGTCAAAGGTGTGCATAATATTGATTCCTACTATTACACGATGGATCTTGAGTCAATTAATTAATATCACTATTCCTTTTTTAAACATTATGCTACTAGCCGACGTCAGTGGTTCTGTCGAGGCAGTTGTAAACTCATTAGACATGATAGGTAACGAAGAAGTCAATGTTAACTTGGTCGACTTTGGAGTAGGTGATGTTAACGAGTCAGATGTCACAAAAGCTTCAGCTTCAAAGTGTACGTACGCGAATGCACAAATTTCAGATTGCTCGTGTTCTCGTTTCCTTCCAATTCACACTTACTGTTTCCGCAGCCCTGATATATGGATTTAATGTCAAGGTGAACCCAAAGGCTGGTGTATTGGCGAAGATGGAACACGTCGACATCGTAACATATGATATTATTTACAAGCTATTGGACGATGTGAAAGATCGATTATCCAAGATGTTACCGCCCATTCTGGAAACCCATATCACGGGTGAAGCGATGGTATTAAAAATATTTGAGGTCAATGTTAGAAGCAAGGAATTTAGGCCTGTGGCTGGTTGCAGGATCACGAGTGGTATGGTGACCAAGACTCAAAAAGCTCGAGTGATGAGGGGTGAAAAGCAAATTTGGGAAGGTAAGTTGTTAAATTCAGGTTTGGAATGTCCTGTTGAGTAGATGGAGATATATGATTGTCGATTTATTTCTTCGGTACAGGTTCGATTGAATCATTGAAACAGGTGAAAAATGATATTCTCGAGGCGAAGAAAGGAACAGAATGTGGCATAATGCTCCAGGGGTTCACGAACTTCAAAGAAGGAGATACCATCCAGACCGTGGTTATCAAGGAGGTGCCACGTACTTTATAGCTTTAATAAAATAAATAAACCTGCCACATTGTAATAAAGATTCTTTAATTCTTTTTTATTGATGTGATTAAACAGAGTGATAACCCATAGCAGGCTACGATCCAGGATGATCGATAGACTGCGATGAGATTTTCTGATAAAGTACAATTGCTAAAGAAAATTTACAGACTTAATTAACTAATGATTGTAGCTATAAGCAGTATTACAAAAAATATTTATGGATGTGGTACTTTTTTTTTTTTTGACAAAAAAAAAAAAAGATGACTAATATTTCTCTTGTCCATTATCTCGTCAACAATAACAGACCGGTGTCACCTATAGTTACATCTGTCAAACCTATGGTATCGTGGCGGTTGATTTCACCGTTTCCCAAAATTTGGAGATTCCCTTGAGTACAAATTCACGCTTGATTCTTTTCCGTTCAAATATAATAACGTACACAACAAAGAGAAAGATAATATTTGGGATTAATCCTTTTGATGCCACTCTCTTAAAGGATGCTACAAATGCTTCGGTGCAACGATCTATCATTGTATCCACCGCCGTAGTTGGTGGCGGATTCTGCCGATGGTCCATGCTATTCCTATTATTTCCTGCTATGCTCAGTGACCTTGGGTTACCCATAAAAGAACGATGGTTATTCGATTGTCTATGGTTACCCCTCGGCAGGTTAGGTGACATCGGTTGTCGCACTCTGAATTCGGATCCGTTGGGATGTATATTATGATCAATCGATGATCTCACACCACTCATATGGCCATAGTCCAGCCTATTATGTAAGAATTCGTTACCATAGCCGTTAGCATCGTCCTTTTTTGTCTTTTCCTTTTTTATTTTAGGTTTCTTAGGTGACAATGGTTGGTTTGATTTTTCCTTCAATTTAGAAAGGGCTTGCTCATAAGCCTGTAAGATTAAGATATGAGAACGATTAGCGAAAGGGATCAATTCTTTTCGGATGAAACAATTGCATCCAATTGTTTACCTTCTTGTGCTCTTTGTCAAGGATTTCGTCTCTATCGAGAAAAGAGCTTGCCGCATCCCATTCCTTGAGCTTTGGTAGAACGTGCAGAACATTTAATTTCACAACTTTTTCATAGCACCTTAGCAAAGAATCATCCTGGTCGGGGCGAGTAATTTTTGGTTTAGGGAATGAATCACACCAACCCTCAATTATTCCGCGCGCAAATTTTAAGCAATTTCGATTTATGCAGAGCAATATGCTTCCAACAGAATTTTTTAAAAAAAAAAAGAAAAGAAAAAAGGTATAAGTGTATTTACATAAAAAAATAATTAGATTTCAAATTCTAAATATAACACTCTCTGAATTACCATTGTGTTTTCACTATTTACCATGCAATTATAATTTCACCCGGAATTTCACCATCTTCGTTACCAAATCCGTTAACAACAATTTTGGTATAAACCTCGTCACATATTTTTTCGGGAGGTCGTTCCAAGAGCCTCTTAATTTCATGATCTTCCGTGACTATCGGAGGTTTTTCGGCAAGCAGGGCAGCTACGAGATTTATGTAGAGACACCATATTTTAATCTGTATAATTTTGGTTGAAGGTGAAACGGTGACCGGTGGGAAATCGGCAAGCTTCGAAATCGCAGACATACACAAGGAATAAGCGGTGTCGTAATTTCGAAGAAGGAAAGCTTGTGTTGTCTTTTTATATAGCGAGGTAAGAGTTTGAAGGTTAGGGTGATCTGGTGACATGATTTGAAAGTCGTCAATGTGGGAAGGCAGTGAACTTGGTGAAGGACGTTGAGCCATTGTTGTAAAATTTTACCTAATTTCACCTGATTATAATTTCGGATCTTTAAATAAAATAAAACGTGGTTTCTATATTTGAATGATAGCCGCTAATCAGTATTATCACGTGTTTATCATAAATTCAAATCAAAAAAAAAAAAATTTTAGCACACTTTTCGAACCCTTCCCAAATGGCTTCTACTGCTCGCGCGGCTGCGCACTCCCTTGATTGGTCTAAACTTACAGCCCTTGGACTCAAACGAGAAACTGTAGTGGCTCTGCAAGCCTTTCGAAAACGTAATGAAGAAGCGAAACGTGTTTTGTCAGCTTTAAAAGAGCAAAAGACAGACATTGATTTTAATCATTATCGAACAATCCTGAAGAATAAAAAAATCGTAGACGAAGCTGAAAAGGCATTGAAAACGTTTCAGCCCGTAAAAGTCGATTTGGGTACCCAATTAAAGATTATAGAGACTTTTGAGGCCAAAGCCGTGAGTAGGATTAAGGAGTTCAATTGTTATTATTTCTAAAAACACCGGTTTCGAGAACCCAATTTTAAAAAAAAAATCGCGTTACAAACATATTGCCAAAGGTTGAGAATGCGCAGAAGACTGCTTCGAAGGTGGACGCAGAACTTCAAGATCTACAAAACACTTTGACTAACATGGAACAGGCAAGACCATTCAAACAACTCACGGTGCGTATTTTATCGATCCTCGTCACTTTTGAACTCGACTTGGTTTACACATCACCACTCAACATGTTTCATAAACACTGTAGGTTGATGAAGTGGTCGCGGCTAAACCGGAGATTAATGATATTGTAGAAAAATTGGTCAAAAAACATCGTTGGGTTGTTCCGGGTTACGAGGAAAGATTTGGATATTAGAACTATCATCATTCCCGAGAAACTCGCCTGACAATAAATCATCAAATGTAAATTATGATTTAAAAAATTTTTGTCTTATTTATATCATACATTTTTTCTACTAATTCACTAAAGAATATTAAAAGATACAAATCAGAGAAGATGATGAGGTGATGAATGACGAAAAAAAAAAAAAAAAACAAGCACGGCTGTTTCATGAATCTCCCGAAATTACGAAAGAATATCATTAGCAAAAAGGTTAAATAAAGAATTAGACTTATGTTCATTTTTGATTGATCGTCAGTCCGATATCAATTCACGGCAAACTATAAATGATAGGTTCTTAAAAGTTCCCTGGGCGAAAGGTTAACCCGTGCTGAATTTCAAAAAAGATACTCAAAAAAGGATGTATATGTATATATAAGAAAAAAAGAAAGAAAGAAAGAAAAAGAAAAAAAGACATATATATATATATATATATACAAGCACAACTTGCATAATTGCCTATTTTCCACAAACTTTTTTTTTTGCATGTTTATCACCATTATGGATAAAGAAATCAAAACGCACCTTTGCTGCTTATCATTCCAAAATAAATCCAAAATATACCAATGTTGCAATATGTGCACTAGTTTGAAACAATATATAAAAGAGAAAAAAGAGAAAAAAAGAAAAGAGACATAAACTACTAGATATCAAAGATAGTTGCATATAATAAAACGAAATAACAACTCCGAATCATCAATTTCGTTACAACCAATACATAGCAGTCATTACAATTGCTGCTTGAACCGTTCAACAAAAAAGCTATTACATGCTCTTTAAGAAATTTCAGCGTTCATTCGCTAATCCTTTCTATTGCAATTTTGTGTAAGTTAATTTTCATAAGAAAATAATCGTAGGAAAAAAAAAAAAAAAAGAAACCAAGCAAGAAAAGAAGGGCACTATGATGCCAATGTTAAAACCCTTTTCAAGTAATTATTTGAAAAATGAAAAAAGATCCGAGGATAAAACATTCGTTCAATAATATTTCATTATGTAACCTTGGCCATTTCCTTCTTCTTTTTACTATTGTTCACCTGTGTGGCTCGTGATTGGGTATGATTACGTGGAGGGGTCACTGGTCGTCCTGCATAATTATATTTCTTCTTTTCGGCAGGCTTGAGAATCTGAAAGGCGAAAATTCCGAGCTAAAATAACGTACTGGAGAGAGAACACGTGAGATTAATAGAAATCAACACATTACCTGGAATGAGCACATGAGAGTTTCGTCCACGCTCATCATCGCGCCAGCATTATCAAATTCACCACAATAGTTTGGTGCCGAGAACAAGGTGACAAGCTGCCTTTTGGCAAAGAATTCATAACCATCTTCTACTACTTGATGCGCTCGACATATCAAATCCATATCGTGCTTCTGCAAAAATCGACTGACAACGTCGGGACCAAACGTGAAAGACACACCACGATCGTTTTCACTCCAACCAGTGATGTCCTTGTCAGGATCGGACCACAGCAAATCACATAACAGGCCTATGCAAAGAATGGTGAAAAAAAGATTAATGAATAACAACACGTCATTTACATCGACAACATATTATATATTATACCGGTGTCTGGTACGTCAGTTGGTCGCATAACTCTTCGAATTTGTTCCATACTCTGAAGATCGGGTGATAAACCTCCGTGCATGGTAAAAATCTTCTCGTCAATGATTGCGGCGATAGGTAAACAATTGAAACAATCCGTGAAGGTTTTCCACAACTTGATGTTATACCTTCGTTTGCCTGCACGTATTTATTTTGATTAACTTAAAAAAAAAAAAAAGTTTCGACGATGAAAGGTTCCTGTTTGCTATTTCACTAACTTACATTCATCGTAGAATCCATAAATACGGTTAATACTTGCGCATTCATGATTTCCACGCAGAATAAAAAAATTTTCGGGATATTTTATCTTGTACGCCAACAAGAGACAGATCGTTTCCAGTGATTGTTTTCCTCTGTCTACGTAGTCCCCAAGAAAAAGGTAATTTGCTTCCGGCGGAAACCCACCATACTCAAATAACCTTAACAAATCATAATATTGACCATGTATATCACCTATAGACGTAGAGACCATTTTTCATAAAGACGCCGACCAGCTTAATAAACAAAAAGTAAAAAAAAAAAAAAAATACAAATTTAATACCGCAAATTTTTATTGGGGCTTCAAGCTCGAGGAGTATAGGTTGAGAAATAAAAATTTCTCTCGCTTTCGTGCAAAGATATCTAATTTCAAACTCTGCGAGTTGCACTTGTTTACCAGGTCGACAGCCTCTGACTAAAAAAAAAAAAAAAAGAAAAAAAATTTTTTTGAATAACATAATTAAATTAGTAAAACGATCGTCGACAACTGCTGTCGTCTTGAACAAGTCTCAGTCCTTATTGTACTTTATAAACAATATAAAATTACCTTCCAGCAGTCTGTCAATGACAGAGTCAATGTCTATTTCAGAAGAATCATTCATGGTACGCCTAATCCTCACTTAGGTAGACTTTAGAGAAGCGCGCGCGTGCGTACGACGTTTTATTGCAGACGGAACAATATTTAGAGGCTCTATAAAAACCAAAATACAAGGATCGAGTAATGAGGAACACGTTAGCAAGGCCACTGCATTGATTTCAACAAAGGTATAAAGCTAATTGTTGTGTCCAGATGATAGGTGTGTGAATGGAAACTGTTTGCGGCAAGGTTTCACACCAATATTTGTGACTGGGCTGGGTGTATGCATCCAGGCAAAATATAAGAAGGTTGGGTGAAGTCATGGATAACAACAATTCCTTTGTATTTTTTTTTTTTTTTCATTTCATTTCATTTCTCGTTTCCCTTTCATACCCTTTAGCAAGGCAATACATACAAGTAGGTATCGAAGCAGGGAGCGAAAAGGTCGGACTGAGAGGATGCGTTTTGTGTGGGTTAGGAAGACGAAGGGTGGGTTGGCCTGAATTTGATGGGTAAGCAAAAGGTAGAAAAAGGCTGGATTGTGAGCGAGGATAAAACCTGGGTAGCCTGTAAGATTAAGATATGAGAACGATTAGCGAAAGGGATCAATTCTTTTCGGATGAAACAATTGCATCCAATTGTTTACCTTCTTGTGCTCTTTGTCAAGGATTTCGTCTCTATCGAGAAAAGAGCTTGCCGCATCCCATTCCTTGAGCTTTGGTAGAACGTGCAGAACATTTAATTTCACAACTTTTTCATAGCACCTTAGCAAAGAATCATCCTGGTCGGGGCGAGTAATTTTTGGTTTAGGGAATGAATCACACCAACCCTCAATTATTCCGCGCGCAAATTTTAAGCAATTTCGATTTATGCAGAGCAATATGCTTCCAACAGAATTTTTTAAAAAAAAAAAGAAAAGAAAAAAGGTATAAGTGTATTTACATAAAAAAATAATTAGATTTCAAATTCTAAATATAACACTCTCTGAATTACCATTGTGTTTTCACTATTTACCATGCAATTATAATTTCACCCGGAATTTCACCATCTTCGTTACCAAATCCGTTAACAACAATTTTGGTATAAACCTCGTCACATATTTTTTCGGGAGGTCGTTCCAAGAGCCTCTTAATTTCATGATCTTCCGTGACTATCGGAGGTTTTTCGGCAAGCAGGGCAGCTACGAGATTTATGTAGAGACACCATATTTTAATCTGTATAATTTTGGTTGAAGGTGAAACGGTGACCGGTGGGAAATCGGCAAGCTTCGAAATCGCAGACATACACAAGGAATAAGCGGTGTCGTAATTTCGAAGAAGGAAAGCTTGTGTTGTCTTTTTATATAGCGAGGTAAGAGTTTGAAGGTTAGGGTGATCTGGTGACATGATTTGAAAGTCGTCAATGTGGGAAGGCAGTGAACTTGGTGAAGGACGTTGAGCCATTGTTGTAAAATTTTACCTAATTTCACCTGATTATAATTTCGGATCTTTAAATAAAATAAAACGTGGTTTCTATATTTGAATGATAGCCGCTAATCAGTATTATCACGTGTTTATCATAAATTCAAATCAAAAAAAAAAAAATTTTAGCACACTTTTCGAACCCTTCCCAAATGGCTTCTACTGCTCGCGCGGCTGCGCACTCCCTTGATTGGTCTAAACTTACAGCCCTTGGACTCAAACGAGAAACTGTAGTGGCTCTGCAAGCCTTTCGAAAACGTAATGAAGAAGCGAAACGTGTTTTGTCAGCTTTAAAAGAGCAAAAGACAGACATTGATTTTAATCATTATCGAACAATCCTGAAGAATAAAAAAATCGTAGACGAAGCTGAAAAGGCATTGAAAACGTTTCAGCCCGTAAAAGTCGATTTGGGTACCCAATTAAAGATTATAGAGACTTTTGAGGCCAAAGCCGTGAGTAGGATTAAGGAGTTCAATTGTTATTATTTCTAAAAACACCGGTTTCGAGAACCCAATTTTAAAAAAAAAATCGCGTTACAAACATATTGCCAAAGGTTGAGAATGCGCAGAAGACTGCTTCGAAGGTGGACGCAGAACTTCAAGATCTACAAAACACTTTGACTAACATGGAACAGGCAAGACCATTCAAACAACTCACGGTGCGTATTTTATCGATCCTCGTCACTTTTGAACTCGACTTGGTTTACACATCACCACTCAACATGTTTCATAAACACTGTAGGTTGATGAAGTGGTCGCGGCTAAACCGGAGATTAATGATATTGTAGAAAAATTGGTCAAAAAACATCGTTGGGTTGTTCCGGGTTACGAGGAAAGATTTGGATATTAGAACTATCATCATTCCCGAGAAACTCGCCTGACAATAAATCATCAAATGTAAATTATGATTTAAAAAATTTTTGTCTTATTTATATCATACATTTTTTCTACTAATTCACTAAAGAATATTAAAAGATACAAATCAGAGAAGATGATGAGGTGATGAATGACGAAAAAAAAAAAAAAAAACAAGCACGGCTGTTTCATGAATCTCCCGAAATTACGAAAGAATATCATTAGCAAAAAGGTTAAATAAAGAATTAGACTTATGTTCATTTTTGATTGATCGTCAGTCCGATATCAATTCACGGCAAACTATAAATGATAGGTTCTTAAAAGTTCCCTGGGCGAAAGGTTAACCCGTGCTGAATTTCAAAAAAGATACTCAAAAAAGGATGTATATGTATATATAAGAAAAAAAGAAAGAAAGAAAGAAAAAGAAAAAAAGACATATATATATATATATATATACAAGCACAACTTGCATAATTGCCTATTTTCCACAAACTTTTTTTTTTGCATGTTTATCACCATTATGGATAAAGAAATCAAAACGCACCTTTGCTGCTTATCATTCCAAAATAAATCCAAAATATACCAATGTTGCAATATGTGCACTAGTTTGAAACAATATATAAAAGAGAAAAAAGAGAAAAAAAGAAAAGAGACATAAACTACTAGATATCAAAGATAGTTGCATATAATAAAACGAAATAACAACTCCGAATCATCAATTTCGTTACAACCAATACATAGCAGTCATTACAATTGCTGCTTGAACCGTTCAACAAAAAAGCTATTACATGCTCTTTAAGAAATTTCAGCGTTCATTCGCTAATCCTTTCTATTGCAATTTTGTGTAAGTTAATTTTCATAAGAAAATAATCGTAGGAAAAAAAAAAAAAAAAGAAACCAAGCAAGAAAAGAAGGGCACTATGATGCCAATGTTAAAACCCTTTTCAAGTAATTATTTGAAAAATGAAAAAAGATCCGAGGATAAAACATTCGTTCAATAATATTTCATTATGTAACCTTGGCCATTTCCTTCTTCTTTTTACTATTGTTCACCTGTGTGGCTCGTGATTGGGTATGATTACGTGGAGGGGTCACTGGTCGTCCTGCATAATTATATTTCTTCTTTTCGGCAGGCTTGAGAATCTGAAAGGCGAAAATTCCGAGCTAAAATAACGTACTGGAGAGAGAACACGTGAGATTAATAGAAATCAACACATTACCTGGAATGAGCACATGAGAGTTTCGTCCACGCTCATCATCGCGCCAGCATTATCAAATTCACCACAATAGTTTGGTGCCGAGAACAAGGTGACAAGCTGCCTTTTGGCAAAGAATTCATAACCATCTTCTACTACTTGATGCGCTCGACATATCAAATCCATATCGTGCTTCTGCAAAAATCGACTGACAACGTCGGGACCAAACGTGAAAGACACACCACGATCGTTTTCACTCCAACCAGTGATGTCCTTGTCAGGATCGGACCACAGCAAATCACATAACAGGCCTATGCAAAGAATGGTGAAAAAAAGATTAATGAATAACAACACGTCATTTACATCGACAACATATTATATATTATACCGGTGTCTGGTACGTCAGTTGGTCGCATAACTCTTCGAATTTGTTCCATACTCTGAAGATCGGGTGATAAACCTCCGTGCATGGTAAAAATCTTCTCGTCAATGATTGCGGCGATAGGTAAACAATTGAAACAATCCGTGAAGGTTTTCCACAACTTGATGTTATACCTTCGTTTGCCTGCACGTATTTATTTTGATTAACTTAAAAAAAAAAAAAAGTTTCGACGATGAAAGGTTCCTGTTTGCTATTTCACTAACTTACATTCATCGTAGAATCCATAAATACGGTTAATACTTGCGCATTCATGATTTCCACGCAGAATAAAAAAATTTTCGGGATATTTTATCTTGTACGCCAACAAGAGACAGATCGTTTCCAGTGATTGTTTTCCTCTGTCTACGTAGTCCCCAAGAAAAAGGTAATTTGCTTCCGGCGGAAACCCACCATACTCAAATAACCTTAACAAATCATAATATTGACCATGTATATCACCTATAGACGTAGAGACCATTTTTCATAAAGACGCCGACCAGCTTAATAAACAAAAAGTAAAAAAAAAAAAAAAATACAAATTTAATACCGCAAATTTTTATTGGGGCTTCAAGCTCGAGGAGTATAGGTTGAGAAATAAAAATTTCTCTCGCTTTCGTGCAAAGATATCTAATTTCAAACTCTGCGAGTTGCACTTGTTTACCAGGTCGACAGCCTCTGACTAAAAAAAAAAAAAAAAGAAAAAAAATTTTTTTGAATAACATAATTAAATTAGTAAAACGATCGTCGACAACTGCTGTCGTCTTGAACAAGTCTCAGTCCTTATTGTACTTTATAAACAATATAAAATTACCTTCCAGCAGTCTGTCAATGACAGAGTCAATGTCTATTTCAGAAGAATCATTCATGGTACGCCTAATCCTCACTTAGGTAGACTTTAGAGAAGCGCGCGCGTGCGTACGACGTTTTATTGCAGACGGAACAATATTTAGAGGCTCTATAAAAACCAAAATACAAGGATCGAGTAATGAGGAACACGTTAGCAAGGCCACTGCATTGATTTCAACAAAGGTATAAAGCTAATTGTTGTGTCCAGATGATAGGTGTGTGAATGGAAACTGTTTGCGGCAAGGTTTCACACCAATATTTGTGACTGGGCTGGGTGTATGCATCCAGGCAAAATATAAGAAGGTTGGGTGAAGTCATGGATAACAACAATTCCTTTGTATTTTTTTTTTTTTTTCATTTCATTTCATTTCTCGTTTCCCTTTCATACCCTTTAGCAAGGCAATACATACAAGTAGGTATCGAAGCAGGGAGCGAAAAGGTCGGACTGAGAGGATGCGTTTTGTGTGGGTTAGGAAGACGAAGGGTGGGTTGGCCTGAATTTGATGGGTAAGCAAAAGGTAGAAAAAGGCTGGATTGTGAGCGAGGATAAAACCTGGGTAGCCAATGTGTTGCTGATTTGCCCAAAACAGAATTTTTGGTGACATGAATGATGCATCATTTCTGATAACACAATTCCCCCCCCCCCAATACGTAGTCGAATCCCGGTATGAATTTTTTATAAATTGTCTTCAATTTTTTTTTTTTTTCATGATCTGGATGATAACGGCTTTTTTAAGCGACCTCTTTCGGAAAATTTGAACAAGCTTCTGCATGTACTTTATGTACTCTTTTATCCTTCCATCACTAACGATTTATTGATAATGACATCACCGGTTTTCTTTCTCGCGAATGTTGACTCTTCCCCTTACTCTGAAATCCATAAAGTTCACATGTACTTTGAAATGTTTACGAGATATTAAATATCAAATTGTTCCTTTACACAATGCAAATTTTCAAATAGGAAATCTCAATTAATCTAAAATTGCATTACTATATATGGAGATTAAGTTGCTTTTTTTGAAAAACAACCTTTTCATTTAAAGAAAAAGGCAATTCATTTATATATAATATATTTGTAAACACTCTAATTTTTAATATTAAAACTTGTGCTTAATGCATCTATATAAAGTTTTTTTTATATTACAATTCTAAATTATAAAGATATTTGCTAAATAAAAGTATTTTTGAAAAAGATTAAAAATAAAGATTAATATAATATTCTTTTATAATTTTTATTAATAAAAATTTCTATTTAAAATTTTATTTTTATTAAAATTTATTAATAAAGTTTATTAAATTTTAATTATATAATATCTAATTAAAATATAGTTAAGCTTGCAATACTCTTGTATAATTAATAATAATTTAAACAGTTGAATTTAAAAAACAACTAGAATTAAACTTGATATATTGTGATCAAATTTATATTTGATTGATATGTTCAAGTGAAATTGTTTTTAAAAAAATAATTTTCAAAGAAATAATTCTAATAGTGAATACAATATTTCACAAAAAATATAATTTATTTAGAACCTAAGTTTATTAATAAATCAAGAAAACTAAAACAATTCCTTTGATTCTAAAGTCAAAAAAAAATATTCAATATTTTAAAAACAAAATAAAGATATTCTTATCAATCTATAATACTTTTAAGTGAATTATTAATACTTATATATTTGAAAAAATAGATCATTTAAATCTTTTAGATCTTATGAGTCTCTTGAATCTTTTAAGTTTCCTAGATCTTTTAAGCTATTTAATTTACAATAAATTATATCACATACTATATTTGATAAAATAATCAAAAAAAAAATTTTTTTTTTTTTTAAATACTAGATTTTCTATACTTTACTTTATTGAAACTTATAGATAAAAGAAATTAAGTTAAACTCAAAAACTATACTGTACATCCAAATTTTCTTGTCTAATAAAGTAAAAACAATAAAAAATCATCTTTAAGGATCACTTTACCTTATAGCTAGGTCACCTCTTTAATAACCAAAGAATTAATATATAGTTTCACTAATGCTAAAATAAATTTTAAATATATATAAAAGAAAAATAGAAAAGAAAAGAAAAAAGTTGTGTTCCTAATTATATGCTACTTTTCAAGAAGTTTGTCAAAGTTTAAAACCCATTTGACAAAATTATGTTTGATACTTGATCAAACTTCTTAAACCAACTATTCTTATAAATAAGAGAGCAAGGCCATATAAGCTTAAACAGATATAAAGATTTTGCATTACAAAAAAGATATCAGAGGATTAAGGGAAATAGTTTAATTATATTTGACTATTGTCTATCAGTTCCAATCACATTTCTTCCATATCCTATCTAGTATAGAATCTTCTATAGATATTCTTCTAAGTGATGACAAGTCAAAGATTTTGTGTAGACTCTAGAATATAGGGAAAATAAGAAAAAAGAGGAGTTTGAGTCCTATTATCTATCAATTTGCCTTCTTTATTATTGTGATAATACTATCCTAGAAAGGAGAATCTTGATACTTTCAACATACACCTTGACAGACTTGATAAATACCATACTGTTTTACCCAGAGTACTACTATTTATAGAAATTAAACCATTGTCTATAGTTATGATATGTATTTCAAGTATTTTTGATTCAATAACTATAAGTTAATATTAATGATTAGATGCAAATAATTCTAGGATCTCCTTGATTTCTCAATAAACTTGTGATAAAAAATAGATATACCACTTTTAAGGCATTGTCTTTATTTTGTATTTTCTTAAGTCTTATCTTTATTTATTTTTTTAAGTAGATAAGAAAGAAATGTGTTCCTTTTATTTTATTTCATCAATAATATAGGAGTTTACAGTGTTTCTTATCTATCTATATCAACTTAAATAACTTATAGTAAACCTTAGGTTTTTATGGAACTAAAAAAATACATCTGAACATATGAAGTGACCAATAAGAGCTTGACTACTTCTTTTTACTAACATGTTTAATTATATCCAATCACAGTGTGAGAAACTTTGTGCTACTCAAAATTTAGAGTCAAGCTGAGGTAAACAAAATTTCTTAAAAATATCTTAAAATAAGCACTCTTATAATCAATAAGAAATAGTAGAAGATAGAAGTGAGTCTCTTGCACCCATATAAAATTATATGATGTTTTTCCATAGTATGAGATGACTATATATCAGTACTTCTTTCTTTTAAAACTTTTTTGTCATTAGTAAAAAAGGTAATGCTTAATCTTTTCTATCACAAGAGATTAAGATTTGTGTGAAGTAAAAAGTGATAAGAAGGAAGGGAGGTAAGATGACTTCTGAAGATTAACTTCAAATTGGTTTAAGGAGAGTATTAAGACTTTTATTAATAGAAAGGGACAAAACTCCTTTTGCAAAAGTCTTTTTTATATATGGTTAGAGAATTAATAGAAAGAGTTGATATAATAAAATAATCAATACTAATTAAGTATTAATAAAAATATTAAAAAATATCAAAGAAATAAATATAAATAAATAAATAAAAATAAAAATAAAATAAAAATTATAGCTAAAAATAATTATTCAATAATATTAAAAACTATTTTTATCACATTTTTTTTCTTAAAAAGTAAAATTTTTTGAGTTAAGTTTTCTTATATAAGAAATAAAATCATTTTAATAAATTTTATTATTCATTTCAAAGAAATGGTTTATGAATAAAACTTTATTTAATAAATTTAATTTAAAATAATTTTATTGTATAATAATAGTAATAAGAGTTTTAAAAATTTTTTTCTTATATATATTATTATTACAATTATTTAAAATTTTATATAATATTCAATAATTCTTTCAAATAATATAAATTAATTAGAGTAACTATATAAAATCAAATTGTTACATATATTGTTTAATTTTTAAAAGAATATTTTTTATACTATTCTTTATTAAAGTAATAAAGTTGTATAGAAGTTTATATCAGTTTTAAATTTTATTCAAAATAAATAACATATCTATTTTAAGTAAGTCCAGTTTCTTTGTAACTTATTGTTTATTATTAAGTTTGAGTATTTTTTATATAAACTTTCCCATATAGATATTTCTTAAATATATTTTAAGATTGTATTATTGATAATTAATTTATTTTAATTTGACTTTATATAATAGTTTAATTAATTAATTATTAGTTCTTATTTATTATTAAATAAATAAACTTCAATAGGCTTGAGTATACCATTGAACATTTCAATTTAGTAATTAGTTGTATTATATTGATGCAAAAAAAATAAAAATTCTTGATTAGACTTTATTTTACTATTAATATTTAGAAATATAAAAAGAAATTAATCTTCCTTCAAATTGAATTTTTCATATTTTTATAAATAATTAAAGGTTTAAAATATTACCTTATAATGATTTTATTTTTGTAATTAAAAGCTATAACCCAATATTGAAAATAAATTACTTTGCTTTTCCCAATAAACTCAAAATAATTGATTTTAAAGTTTCTTTAATGATTAATAATATATTTTATCTCCATATAAAAAAACTATAGATTTAACTAGTTTAAGCAAATATTCTTTCAAATTTATCTTTTTTTAAAGATACTAATAAATAATAAATAAGTTTAATTAATCTTTTTTCCTATAATATTTCTTTAGCTTAGTAATTT